AAGTAGGTGCTTTAGACCACTGAGCCATCTCTCCAGCCCCTCAAAATTTAAAATGTTTTAAAGTGATAGGGGTGTAGCTTAGTGCAAAGGTCCTAGGCTCAACCCCCAATACTGAAGTTTAAAAAAAAAAAAAAAAACAGTAAGACTGTTAATTGTTATTTGACATTGTTTTGCCAGTGTCACACTAGGTGACAGGAGGAAAAAGAAGGCATAAAAATTGGAAAGAATTTGGTGAAAGATTATTTACGTAATAGATTTACACAGAAGCATAATATTCCATTGAAAAATGGTGACAAATACAGGGATTTAGTAGAGGCGCCAGGGTAGAACATTTAGAAGAAGCCAGTAGTCATCAGGTGCCTGATGGGGCTGTGTATTGTGTGCAGTACAAGGGACAGGGACACCCTGTGATTGGTTGCCGCCACACTGTCAGCTGGGAAATCCAGCATCATAAATAATGAAATCTCATAATGCCAGCAGAATTTTGAGGGTTTAGAGGGGAGTCAGGACCATACTAATGATTCTAAAGTCATGTACAAAAATAATATCCAGGGCATTCATGAGGCAGGACTCGCCTCCTAGGTGACATGGAGTGATTTAGGTGGAAGCATATAGACTTCATCAGTGGAACAAAGCACAGAAGCCCAGAGCAGACCCAGCTCTGCATAGGTTTCAGCAGGAGCACTTCAGCAGGGAGGAAAGAGGGCCTGGCATTGTCCGGCATTAAAAAAACCAAGGAGCCATCTGGGAAAAAATTTTGATTTATACCTCAAATTTAGATGTCAAAATTTAAATGTATAGATTAAAACATAAAAGTAATACAAGCCTTCTGTTCATAATCCTAGAACATGGTTTGTGTACATAGTAACACCTTCCATAAAAGGGAACGTCAACTTTCTTGCTGACATTAAAAAAAACAAGTATGAAACACAAAGAAAAAAGCTCAGTAAAGGGGAAAAAACCCCAAATATATGAAAGGTGGTAATGGACAAAAGCTCAGTGTCATATGAATAAGAAAAAGATCAGTAGAAAAATAGCCAAAGGAAGGGAGTAGGTTGATCACAGAGAAGTAAGTAAATTTTTGAATATTGGAATATATTTAACTTCACTCACAAGAAAAAGACAGATCTTAAGACCTTGGTCTGTCCAGAATTCTTCATTTCTCCGTTTCAGTTTGCACTGTGCAGAAGACCCAGCCCTAGTTTCTTGTTTCCCATCAACACCCACAATTTGAGGACAGGTTTGTTTTGGTGCAGGTTTTAGGAGTTTCCATCTTTGCTGGTCAGCGGCTGGCGCAGGAGCCTGGGCATCTCCATGCACGGGGAGCGGAATGAGGCGAGGAGTCAGGAAGGAGACGTACCCTTCCAGTCACATGCCCTGGCCTACCGTGTCAGCTAGGCCTTACCTCTTGCATTGCATTCAGTTGCCCTATAACTGTTGCCCCAGAATCCGATTACCTTTCAGAAGCTCTGCCTTTGATCACACGAGGTTTTGGGGGGGAACATCGAGGTATAAGTCGTAGCAGACCCCTCTCACTCAGAGGTAAATTGTAGCTGGAAATTTGTCAGATAGCAGATTGTTAAATAGGGCCCATGTTCCATCAACTGCAAACAGAAAAAATGCTTTCACAGCCCATTCAAAAGCCCCAAAATTTTCTCTCTCTGTTTTTGTTGTTTTTTTGAGACAGGGTTTCGCTATGCAGTTCAGGCTGGCTTTGAGCTCACTTTGTAGCCCAAGCTGTTCTTGAACTCATAACAATCCTCCTGACTCAGCCTCCTGAGTGCTAGGATCACAGGTATGTACCACCACACCCAGCTTTACCCTACATTTTAAAAGCATACTTTAAAATACCTGTGGATTTTAAAGTTACCTCATAAAGTGCCAACTACTTTAATGAATTCACTAATGGTGATTTTGTGCATCTTATGTAGCAGATTTTGGGTTTTTCTTCACTGGTAAGCAGGTACAGTAGTGGAGGTAAAGAGTGAAATAAAGGCATGCCATGATTCCGCTAATTTTTTTGGTTTTTAAAATTCATTTATTTATTTATTGGTACAGAGTCTCACTACACAGCTCAGGCTCATAGTGCTATCCTGTCTCAGCCTTGCCAGTGCTGCGATTACAGGTGTATGCCATCATGCCCACCGAGCTCAGTGTGCTAGGGCATAGGGCTGGCAGGGATCAAACCCAGGGCTCTGTGCTTGCCTAAGCAGGCGCTTAGTTTGCTGAGCTATTGCACTGGCTGCAGGCATCTGATCTTTGACAGGAACCAAAAGCATAGGCTTATTGAGCATGGTGGCACATGCCTATCATCCCAGCACTGGGGAGGTTGAGGCAGGAAAATCACTGAGTTCACCGTAAGCCTGGGCTACATAATGAGTTCAAGGTCAGTTTGAGCTACATAGTGAGACCCTGGCTAAAAAAAAAAACTTCACTTTTCTTGATTACATTGATTACTTAGTATTGAATTTTTAACGATTTTTTTTTTTTTTTTTCAGAACCGGGGATTGAACTCAGGGCCTTGCACTTGCCAGGCAAGCGCTTATTCTACTGAGCCATCTCCCTGGCCCCTTAGTATTGAATTTTTAAGCTACTATGTCGGATTTGGTTTCCTAGTTTCTTTTTTCATGGATTCATTGTTGATTGTTGGCCAACAAGAACACTGTTGAGTTTTGTGAATATCCGAATCTTGCCATCACATAGTTTTTTCTTCCCAGTATCATCTAATTCAGATCTTTTTATGCCTAGCCTAGCAAAACCTTTTTACCTTTTACCTGTTAGAATACCTTCTCTCCCCTTTATACCCCACAGTTAAGACTTTACAGTTTCATTCTGGTCTATTTTCTGTTTTGTTCTCAGCTTCTGTTCTAACCAAGTTGACCTGTGTGCTCTTCTCCACATCGTCCCTGCTCTCCCTTACATAGGACTGGCTCTGTGGGGAATACCCTGTTAGGCTTGGGACAGTACCCACTTCAGAATAACCACACATGCTAGTAGTATTTCTCATCTGACAAATAAACCAAGCCTTTAACAGAAAGTAACTTGCGCAGAGTTAGTCAGCTTGGAAGGACCATCACCATTCTGTCGAGAGTTTCCCAAACTTAACCCACCCCTCCAAGCAGGTTTGCTGCCTCCTGTCATGGAAAGAGAATTTTCAAGATGCACCAGAAAGAGGCACAGCTGGACTTCATGGTGCATACCCAGTGCTTAATAGGCTGAGGCAAGAGGATTGTCGCAAGTTCTAGACTGCATAGGAAGACCCTAAAAAAAAAAAGAGGCATAAGTAGAGTTTATCAGGCAGAGATAGAGATTATAAAACTCTGAGAAGTGTGGGCACTCAAAAACCTGAGGCACACTACAGTAGGGAACTGGGAACTGTGGTGCTTTTCTTGAGGGGGTACCACCCACCCTTCTCCCTCAGAAGGGCACCAGCACCTTCCACAGGCATGGTAAGCTCTTTATTTGTTTTGGCAAAACCGGGGATTGAACTCAGGCCCTTGTACTTAGGCCCTTGCACTTGCCAGGCAAACGCTTACTCTGCTGAGCCATCTCCCCGACCCCTTTGTTTGGTTTTTGATAGTTAATTTAAACATCCTCTATATTTAGTCAACCTGCCAGTTACGTTCTAATTGAGCCAGTTTGTGGCCTCTTAGTGATGGGTCTGTACGCGAAAGAGTGTAAACCGAGTCAAAGGTTGGCATAGGGCTCCCTCGGCTGGCTTTGAGGAAGGCCTTGATGTTGCAGCTTTTTTTTTTTTTAAAGTTTTTTTTTTAATTTTTTATTTATTTATGTGCGTGTGTGTGTGTGGCCAGCTCAGCCCACCAGGGGGCGGGGCTGGCTGGCATGTGGTGCTGGGGGATTGAACCGCTGTCCCTGTGCTTTGCTAAGCTTGTTCTAAGTAGGTGCTTTAGACCACTGAGCCATGTCACCAGCCCCCAATGTTGCAGCTTTTAAAGTACAGTGTTTAGCTATGATTTTATTTTTATTTTTTTAGTGGAACCAGGGATTAAACTCACACCTTTGCACTTGCTAGGCAAGCGCTTATTCTACTGAGCCATCTCCCCGGCCCTTTAGCTATAATTTTCCTTTCAACCCATCTTACTTCTTCCATACCTCAAAACTACTAAGAAACTTTTATTTTTAGACAGGGTACCACCCAGTTTGCAGTTCAGGCTAGCCTTGAACTCGCTACGTAGTCTATCTAGGTTGGCCTTCAGTTTGCGGCCATCTTCCTGCGTCAGCCTCCCCCAGGCTAAGATTGCAGGCATAGGCCACCAGTGCTCAGCTAAGTAACTATTTATTTATTTATTTATTTATTGTTTTTCTTTGTTGTTTTGAGGCAGGTCTCATTGTGTAGTTAAGAAAGTTACTCATGTGGAGTTATGGAAGTTTCTTCAAGGTATTGCTGAGTGAAAACACTAAAGTACAGAATAGTATGCTACTGTTCGTTAAAAATGGGCCGGCAGGATTGCTGTGAGTTTAGAGCCAGCCTAGGCTACATAGCAAGACCCTGTCTTTAAAAAACCTGAACCAGAGAGGGTGTGGTGAATGATGAAAAGAAACTGTTTTCTTTGCACTCAAATCTGTGTGCTTTCCACATGTTGCAGTTCTCTGTATAGACTCCAAATAAATACGCTACAACTTGATCACAGACTGCGACTGCAGTTAGTGCAGACCCCACAGGTGAAGGGCTGCATCTCCCTGACTACCCCACCTCCTGGGCCAGTCACAAACAGGGACCTCCCTTGCTTGGGACCTTGAGGCTCCACCACCCCAGCTAAGGTATCATTTCTTGGAATGGTTCACAGGACTTGAGAAAGCAAGTGATTTACAGTTGCCAGTTCACCGCAAAGAATGTAGCACAAGACGCAGCCAAATGGGAGACCTGGCCTGCCTGAGGGCCTACCCACTAGCCCAGTTGTTTAAGTGTCTGCTAAACAAAGCACTCAGTCTCAGGATGCTGTGGTTCGATCCCCAGATCCTCACGCCTTGCCAGAACTGCCTTTAGGGCATGGTGAGCCAGCCCAAAAAAAAAAAAAAAAAAATAACGAAACATGCTTAGCCCAAAAGGCCTTCTCAATTCTCTTCTAATTTGAAGACAACAATATGCAATGTAAGCAATGA